TTAAACTAATATGGTTTAAAACGCATGATTTCAGAGCGATAAACATGATAATCAGAACCAAAACAGATGTTTTTTAGCAGGTACGAGCTCTAATGGTGCAGCTCTATTCTGGAAAAGGGGGCGGGGAGGAGCAGCTCATTTGCATTTAAATAGACAGGCCCAAAAAACAGCGTGTTTCTGCTTCCACTCAAAATAGGCATTTTCAAAATGATATAATAAATGATCTGTGGAGTATTTTGAGCTGAAACGTCACAGACGCATTCTGGGGACACCAGAGACTTATATTACATATTGTAAAAAGGGGCATAATATGTCTCGTTTAAAATCAATGTTATTTGAACTTGAAAATTGTTTCTACAACTTTTCTTTTTTTTTTCAGTGTAGAAAATGGGCTGGGATGGAATAAATGTTATATATTTTTTTAATGATATAGTCTATAAAACAACTGATAATGTCTTTAAATTCAGATTAATTTAATATTTTTTACCAAACAGTATTTTAGTGTCAGTGATGTTATAATAATAAATTAATCAAAATAATTATTATTTAATTTTTTGTCAATGTAAACAAATTAATGGGATAATTATTTATTGTGACCTTGTTTGAAATGATGTAAAATGTCAATATGATCATAATTAAAGGTAACACTTTACTCGAAGCTTTTATGTATTTTAAAGGTATTCATAGTGTATATGCATTATATCTTTTCATAAAATGCAAAGAAAACATAAAATGTTAAAATGCATTATAATGTCTGCAGATTCCTTGTTATGTCAGAAATCGGTTGTTTGTTCATGTGTTTTAGTGCATTATACTTACTAATGTTGCCCTGTAAAAATTTTTTTTTATAAAAATCATTCAACTTAAAAACTTAAGTTCACATGCATTATAAGCTGCATTACAAGGCATAATTAATGCATTAAAAATAATACATTTTATAATGCATTATACTGTATTTAAAGGCTTCAAGTAAAGTGTTACCTTTTTAGTATTAAAATCATTATTATTATTTTGTCAATAATTAATATATGAAGGATGAGTTTCATTTTGGGGGAAAAAACTAAGAAAAAGCACACTTTGAAATGTCATA